GAAGGGGAAAAAGCCGAGATAATTTTGTAATATTGTATTCAATGTGTATTTCAGCAGTTACCATGACTCACTGATGCCGTATTTTATTGAGAATGCACCAGTTACTCAATCCATTCATTTCTTTTCTCAAGGTAAGCCAATTGACAAGCATACAAACAGCTAAAGTGCACTGTGAAAGGCCCAAAAGAAAAAAACACACAAGGATGCGTCACACCCTGCTATTCCAGGTGCTGCTACTCTGCTGCGTCTCTGGTTCTGTTGCCGTCGCTGAGCATCACTGCATCTCCGATGAAGTTGAAAACAAGGTTGGCCCCCGGACGACAGCAGTGGTGCTAGAGCTGCCAACTCGGGGAGGTGGCATGATGCGGGCGCTGACTGCCTCGGCTCCCGAATGGGCGCCCATCCGTTTTCAAGTCTTCACGGAGGATCTGAACGATCCCTCAAAACACTGCACCGCTGAGAAGCAGATTCGTCCAGACTTTATTGGGAGAAATCTTGAGTGTAATAAAAGGGATATTTTGACGAAGGAAAAAAGATCCATCATAATAAACTCCCTTCTTCCCCGAGCGTTCCGAATGCATACGGATCGTCTACTTGTTAGGCCTCTCACGGGCAGGGTTATTGTACCAGGGTACTCGTCAGGTGTATGCGCTCAGTTTACAATACCCAGCTCCCATCAAACAGAGGGTGTGAGCGGTGCGGACATGTACTTGTATGTCTCCGCTGGCCCGACACAGGGTTCCACACTTGCGTGGGCTACTACATGCTTAAAATTACCCGATGGACGCCCTGTTGTTGGAGTGGTGAATTATGGCCCGAGGTCTGTCACTGATTCGGAGAACAGTGTTCGTGTTTCAGCGCATGAAGTTGCACATGCTCTTGGGTTTGCTGTGTGGTTACTGCAAGAACGCAATATGTTGAAGGAGGTTTTGAACGTACGCGGCAAAGCAAAGGTGCTGCAGGTGTCGTCACCCAAGACGGTGGAGAAGACTCGCGAGCACTTCAACTGCGTGAATGCTACCGGCATGGAGCTGGAGGATGAGGGTGGGGAAGGAACAGCATCGTCGCATTGGGAGAGACGCAACACAAAGGACGAGCTGATGGCTGGTATTTCCGGAATCGGCTACTACACGTCCCTGACAATGGCTGCTTTGGAGGACACCGGGTTTTACAAGGCCAATTGGGGAATGGAGGAACCGATGTCATGGGGCAACAACTCCGGCTGCGCGCTGCTGACAGAGAAATGCCTGATGAATGGCGTCAACAAGTATTCAGAGATGTTTTGCACCGCTGAAACAACTCTTATTTCATGCACATCGGATCGTCTGGCGCTGGGGTACTGTACAATCTATCTCTACACAGCCGAACTTCCCCAACAATATCAGTACTTTTCGAATCTCAAACTTGGCGGTTCGAACTCCTCCTTAATGGACTTATGCCCTTACGTTCAACCGTATTCCAACACTCGGTGCAGCAATGGGGAAGCAAGCATCATGCATGGGAGTCGCGTTGGCCCGAGATCAAAGTGCTTAAAGGGGGATGGGCTTGTCGATTTCATGGGTCGTATTGGTGACGTGTGCGCTGAGGTGTCGTGTGAGAAGGGTGAGGTGAGCGTGCGGTACCTTGGAGATGATACATGGCGCCAGTGCCCAGAAGGCAGCAGTATTACACCAACTGGGCTGTTCACGGGAGGAAAGATTTTGTGTCCAAAGTACGACGATGTGTGTATTATCTTTGATCCACTCAGGGGAGGCGGAGACGTGAGCAGTTTGTTGTCAGTTTTTCCATCAATTTCAGTGATTTTACTGGTCCTTATTTTTATATCAATGTATTGATGATACTGTGAAAAAACGCGTTTTGTACCCGTCAAGTTGGGAATGTGCCAATTTTTGGTTAATAGTTTTAATTTGTCTTCTTCGATCGGTTTTCGTTTCTTTTGAGTCAATATACACTCCAATCTGCAAGGGATGTTTTGATAATATAATAGTTTTAATTTGTCTTCTTCGATCGGTTTTCGTTTCTTTTGAGTCAATATACACTCCAATCTGCAAGAGATGTTTTGATAATATATATATGTATATATGTGCACCCCGAAGCACCCCTTTATTTATTTATTTTTTTATGTGTTATTCAATGCAGGCCAAATTATTGTTTTTTAAAATAGACCTGGACCGTGCGGCAAAAATGCAAATGGAGCGGTGTGTGAAGCAACATTGAGTGAAAAGAAGCCATTCGCATTGTTGGAGCCCAGTTTGTTTTTTTTTGTTGTTGTTGATTTTTATTTCATGTTATTTTACTTTGAAAGCCTGCGAGAGGAATGTTGCGTGCCAAGATTTACCGGGGGAATCCCCAATACTAACCTTTCCCTCTCTCCTATTTGCCATTGTGAGGCTTAGCGCAAAGAATATTTATTGAGGGAGGAATTTTTGGATCGGACGGTGTCCACGAGATACGCCCCGCGCCCACGCTCTGCAGTGGGGCGGCCACCGGCGCAACTGGGCGTTTCAGGCTGTCGTGCCACTGTGTGGTCCAACGGCACCTTCTCCACTTTGTCTTTGCCCAGCGACCAGCCCGCCATTGAGCCACCACGTGGGCGGCGTTCTCACCATTAGCGGGCGGCGAACTCGTTGCAAGGCGGGGCCGGGACAACGGCATGAATTGCACCTCGTTGCGACACTCTGTGGCTGTCACCACCGTGCCGAGGAACCCTGAGTCCATTCGAGCCTCTTTTGAGGAGGAAGAGGCACACCGCTGTTTGGAGCAAATGGGCGGCCCTTAAAGGAAGGCGGTTGGCGCGGCACCGTCCATATGAGTGCGCCCGGGCCCAGTTGGAGGATGAAAAATCTTGGTGTGCAGCTCAGATGTCCACGCGCGGTTCCAGGCGGTGCGCATTGGATTGGCGCTGATGCAAAAGTTGCTCATAGCCATCAATGGGACAACAACTTTGCGCCCATCAGCGCCCAGCAAGGCCCGTCACAAGTCTCCGCCCCCTCTGCCACGGGAATTTGGAGTGCGTCCCATGCAGCAGAGAGGATTGGGTGATCCTGCGTGGAAGGGCGAACCCCATGACGCGCCAGGGGAAGTAGAGCTGTTACTCGGCCTGCGGGGCACACAGGGGCTCATGAGGGGAATCCGTGGGTGGCAGGGATTTGCCCGGAGGATCGCTGTCGCGCCATTTGGCGGCGTCTTGGAATGCATGCTGGATGCGACGCCTGGCCACAGCTCCTGGATGCGTCTTGGGTCGCTTTTCCGACGCCGGCTGCGCCAGACCCCGGCGTGCAGACAGCGGTGGGAGGAAAGAGGCACCCTGGGCGTGCGCCAATCGCGGGGAATAGATGTTCATGGGAACTCGCCGGTTGACAGGGCGACTGCGTACACTCAGTCGCATGGATCCTCCGGACAGCAAAAAAGAATTCTAGAGCGCTGATCCGGGACATTCAGCGTGCTATCGAAGCGCCCAGAAACGGGACCGCCCTTTCCCCCAGGCAGTTCAGAGAGCAAACAAAGAGCATGCCGCACCCCCGCCCAATGAAGCACGACGCTGCAAACGTGGTCGGACTGGACAATACAGCAGGACGTGCCGAGTGAAGCCGCAAAGGGAGACCTATACCCAAAAAAAAGGAATTTTGTCTCGGAAGCAGTGACTTCTGGGCCGGCACAAATGGGGAATCATCATCAATGTCCGGGTGTGACCGTGCGGAATGGGCACCCCTCAACACTGCGTTCGCGGCGATGCCGTGGGCCATCTCTCCACCAACACGTCGGCGCGGTTGGCACCGTTGGTGGAAACGAGCTGGCGCACCGTGCGACGGTGCTGTGGGCACAATTGGCGCCGGGGAGGGACGGCACACGACCATTTTATTTTCAGGGCCACAGCATCATTTGGCGCACCCATAGCCGTCGGGTTGCGTTGCGGGAGGAGGAGGATTGCTTGCCCCGGCGACGAGTGGACGTGTGCACTTCATCTCTGGGGTGGATCCAACGGCGGGTGAATCCAACGGCACGCGACTGTGTTGGCGAGCTGTGGGAAAACGCTGCTAAGACCCGTCACCTCGACGAGCGAAGGAAAGAAATTGAGTTTGCGGACTTTTTCGCAACGTGCGCTGCTTGTGGAAAGGGCAGTTATTCTTAGTAAAGCCCTGGAAGGACCCGTCGCAGGATGGACCGGCGGGCGCCTTTTGCGGCGGTGTTGGACAAGTCGTCAGGACGGAGATGGCGGTCCATCGCATGGCCAAAACCAAGGAACGCCCAGGAGGACGCCGAGGCCACGTTCCGCCATTTCACATTTCACAGTGTCTTGGCGCGGTGCGAGACGAAGCCGCCGCTTTACTGGATTTGTATGCGTCTTTTTACGGGCGGCTCACTTGGCGGATATGCACGGACGAGTTTCCGTTGTCGAGTGGGATTTTTGGATCTCGTGGAATCGACTCTCCTCCACACGGGCCATGAGTGTATTCCGGAAGTTCCCCGCGCCGCCGCGAGGGTCTTGGCGGAGGACCCCGAGATGGTAAGACCGCAGTCTGTTGCGCCGCGCGTGGTAAGTACTCCTGTTTGGATTTGCGGTATCCGGACCAGTGGACCGCGGAGAAGTGTGGTTCGGCGGTACCAATGTGCGGTCAAGAAGTGGTGCCAGCAGGAGAACAGGTGGTCCTTGCCAAGGGGTGTGAATCTATTGGCGTATCCTTCATCCGCGAGACGAAGAGCGCCGCCTTGAGCACGACGAGAGCACGAGGATTGAGGAAGACTGCGTGTCTCCGAACGCCGGCAGCTGGGGGTGTGGGTGGTGCGGCGGCGC